AGTTCATTTTGACATAGTGGGTCATTGGGGGGGAGATCGACAAACCATATAACGTGGTCAAACTCTTACTAAAGCAAGTTAGCAGAAGAGCAAAAATCTTTCCCCTCCATAAAAGCCTTCAGTACCGCTCTATGTTCTTCTTTCAATTAAGAAATACTTTTGAGTTCTGATATACCTGATACTAACAACTTAACTAAATAACCTCGTTAGCAGCTGCCTTTGTTGTTTTTGAGTGAACGTTCATTTCTCACACCTCGTCACACACACTTGGCATTAAACCACACCCGTTGCTCATGCCGTAGTCGGCAGTAGTACCACACTGACTGATCTGAATCACTGTGGTTTGGACACAAGTGCAAAGCTTGACACCTCGCAAAATGCATTCTCGCATGATTTTATGATCTTGTGAGTCCAGCTGCCTTGTAGATACAGTTGGCACACTGTTCAGAGTAATGTACCATACTGTGTTCCCAATTAGCGAAGCTGTCACCCTATCTTTAAGGCCGAGCCCAGCCCACCCTACAGTTGAATCTCATTTTGGCCACTTATATCCACAATCTCATTCTTTTGCACACTACCCAAAGTTCATCACTCATCGTGAATAAGACACTGAAGCCTTTCAAGTCCACAAAACACATGTAGACTGTATGGTCAAAACTCCCATGAACCTCCAAGCTATGTGCTGGTCCACTGATGGACAGCAAAGACAGAATCCACATTGCTCCTCCTGAATCTGCAGTTCAACAATTGACCAGACCCTCCTTTCTGGCATCCTGAAATAAATGTTTCCAGGGAGGCTGAGCAGTGTGGTACCAGGATAATTGGAGCACACCCTCTGGTCCCCCTTTTTTGAAAATGGAAAACATCACCCCTGTCTGCCACTCCACAGGTGCTGTCCCCGACCTCCATGTGACACTGAAGAGCTGTGTCAATCATGTCCACAGCTTTCACCATCTCAGGGCAAATCTCGTCCACACCTGGCATCTTGCTGCCAAGGAGCTTACCTTAGCAACCTCTGCCAGGAATATGGATAAGGCTTCCCCCAATTCTTCAGACTCCTCTACAGGTCGGATTCAGAAGCCTCTAAAAGATCTCTTTTTCCCCAGTCCAGGTGAGTAGATCTGCTGACTGAACACAGCCTGAGCCAAGCTGGGCTTTCTCTTCCTGAGTTGTCAAATCGTTTGCCAGAACTCCTTTTGCATAGCCTCCCCAAACTCTTTTCATACCCTGGTTTACTTCAGCAACTGCCTAAGCTGAAGCCCTTCTGACCCCCCGGTGCCTATTTGGTTACTTCAGAAGACCACTCGGCCAACCAAGCCCGAAATGCCTCCTCCTTCAGCTTGACAGCTTTCCTCATCCACTCACCTGGTGTCCACCAGCAGGTTCTTAGTTTGCTGCCAATGACCTTCTGACCACAGCTACTATCAGTCACCTACCTTTTGTAGGGTGGGTTTTGGAAAATTGTGATGGACATTTTTGCTAATTCCATAGACCAAAGGGTTAATCTAGAGTATAATTAACAGAGGTATTCAGTAATGAAAGTAAGTTTATTATGATTATAATTAAGTATTAATTTAAGTTAAAGTTATCAACTCTGGGTGATGTCCAACTTTGGTCACATGTAATTTTTTGGCCCGAAAGTTTCTAAAATAATAGTTCAAATCTGCTAATGGGGCATTAGCAAGGTATTTGAAAAATGTTGGTTGACAACCATTACAAACCCCTCCAATTTTCTTATTCTAATTAAAAAGATTGGGCACCATCACCCAAGGGACAAAAATAGACTGCAGTGCTTGACAGTGCTTGTCATCATAGCTTCCAAAGACATGGTTGTTCAGATGAAGTGAACTCATTGTTGCAGCTGCAAGCTATGGATAGCAAATTAGTTTTTCTTGCTCTAACTGCCTTTAAACAAGAATTAATTATAGGCAATGTCTAGGTAAGAAATTGAGGATTCCACTTCATTCCTGTCATACACAGTAATTATTGTAATCCAATGCAGGTCAATCAATTTCTGACCAGTGAAGAAAGCATTTCTTTGTTGTTTTCCGGGTTATCTTTTAAGCCTTGACATTTGCGTTGCATCTCAAGAGAATAAACTAGTTTCTGAACATTGCTTAGTTGCACAATGTGTGCTTGATGTTTTGAGTGAGCAATTGATACAGACAATAAAATAGATCTTTATTGTCATTATGCTCAGAACAATAAAGGTTAAGCAGCAGTAAGTTGAGTTTTGCTCTTGCCTGGTAGCCTTGATGACTCATGTCTGCAGGGATGCAGAGCAGCAGAGTGACTCAAACCAGTGTGCTTCACTCAAACTGTGAACCTCAATGTGTGCTTATATTACGTCAACAAGAAGCCTCGCACCTGCAGAGGCTGTCATCTTTGCCAACAGCCCAGTAAGACATAAAAAAAACTTTAATTATAGGAAATGCTGCATGAAATGGCTGGACTGCTGGCAAATGTCTCTGCTCTGCATTCACACATCTAATATGTTTATGTAGGATGGAAACATTTTAATGATGATTTTTCTCAAATCTCAAACAATCTGCTGTCATGCTTTCTATCAGTAGCATTTTCAACAAGGCAGATTTGAGGACTGAAGTTTGTCTGCTTACCCCAGAAGAAATTATGATTGACGTGTCAACCCTGCTCATTACTGACCAACTGTGATGAGAAAGGAGAATCTCGTGCCAAAATGCTGTGAAATTTGTATTCTATTATTACCAATTTGTTTCCTTTTTCAGAAGTCCTCGGTTGTATCAGACAATTCTAGTTCATTCTGCTCTGCAAAACAATATCATGTTTTATGGTTCAGTAGTGTAAAATAGTGTGATGTACAGTGCGTGTGAATGCTGTAAATTTGTGCATCCCTAGATATCTCCACATGCTCAAAAGAGAATTGAACAAATTTCATGTCATTTTCGGGGATGGAGTTTGTGGGGGCATTGAATTGTATTGATTTATAATGACAGTAGTTTCTATTATTGCTCAATCTGCATCAGTTTTAGCTGGGTGTACCTAATAAACTGGCAATTGGGTATATTTAACACATATGCTGCACTCTGGGAACAGCCACACCAAGCAGGTGTGACCTGTAGGTTGGGGGTGATGGTGTAGATCTGAAGCTACAAAGACAATCTTGGCCTCTAGGGCAGCGGATACAAGAACACTGGGGAAAAAGAGCAGCAGGATGTGAATTATACATCTGCATTCGCTGTTGTTTTCTTTGCTGTCTAAGTCAGATACACTTAGTCCTGGACAATGACCTGTTTTTACCCTGCTGTTATGGTACATAAATCAGTTGCAAGGGACTTGTATTGTGCGATTAAAAGCTTTGATATCACACAAATAGAATAATTATATGCCTATCTAATCATGTTAGCACTTTAAAAATATCATTTTGCAGTCGCTGGTGGTTGATTAGAGTCTTCCACATTTCCACAGACTTTTCATAGAGGAATTGACTCTTTACAACTATTAACTGTGTTATATAAAAAAAGGATGTTGGCGTTATAAGTTTCTTCTAAAATTTGCTTGTAACTTTGAAAAATTTAAATATGTGTGTGGGACAGGTAATGATTGTCATTACAAAAGGAACAATAGGTACTAATACTTAGTACTAATACTAGTACTAAGGCTCTGAGTGAAATTATTGTACCTCTTGTCTGGAAAATTTACTGTGCCCGAGAGGCTACTCAGAGGAACAAGAGGGCCTGCAGCAATTTAGCTCAAGAGCATCCAGCATGACAGCTGATAAATACAGAAATCATTTGAGATTACGTATTCTCCTAAAACCTGCAAGTGTAGATTATTGGAACCATCTCTCTCTTTTGCTAAGGGACACACTGTTGCTAAAGGAGGTGACAATTAAATCTCTGTTCATCCACTGTACCAATTTAGTATGTCTCCTATAGTATTTGGTGACATTATGAAGTTGTAGTGTCCTATATCGTCTATACCATCTTAAATAGTCACCACTATGGTTCAACAACAAGTTAACAGTATTTTTATCCATATTTTCAACTGAAAGTCCGCAGAACTAAGTAATTGCAGGTGGGTGGCCGAAGCTATTGGTTGGCAAGACAACTAGAGTATTAATGTACACACACACGGCCATCCAGGTGAGTAGGAATGTATGAATGTATCTATTATTATTGTTATTATCATTGTTGTTGTTGTTGTTGTTGTTGTTGTTGTTGTTGTTGTTGTTATTATTTTTTATTATTAGTTAATAATAAATAATAATAAATAATAATTAATAATAATAATAATAATATTTTACGAATGACCGTATGAAAAGGAATTCATGTTTTTTGTGAACAAATACTTTATTCAACTTCACAAAAACATATGTCCTGTATATTTTACACTACAGTAGAATTCAAATAATATAATTTTTTTATATTTTTTACAGTAGAAGTCAATACTGTAGATAAGAAATTTACACTGTATGATAACGATGCTCCAACATACAGACGGATATATGAGGAATATATGGCCTAAAAACACTACAGGTGCTAGCTATAAATCAGTCAGTTTGGACTACTTGAGATGCAGTGATGCACTGCACAGTGGGATGGGAGACGGGCCCGGAGAGCCAACTGGTTTTAATGACCTGAAAGCTTACTTCTAATGGGCTGATTGGATTTACTATTGATTATATTTTCAGTGCATGCTGTGGCGTAGTTTTGTGATTGCTATTGTCACCCACTGCAAATTGAACTAGCCAACAGACAAGTAATGGGAACATTAATTTCTCTCGAACAAAATTAGAGATCCCCATTCACTTATCTGCGCCCATTACATTTAACCAAAATTAGAGGAGTGTGATTGTTTTCTGCCCGATGACAAATACATTTACTTATGCATACCACATACACACTCACACACACACACAGACATAACGTATTCACAGGAGACCCAATCAATATACCTCGTCATTGATTGAGTGCTTTCCATTGACCGAGTACCTTCTCTGCTATTAAGTGTAAACTCACTTGTGCATTTTTTGATGCCAGATCCTTTCTTCACCGCATGCCGACTGAGCTTGCATTGGAAATTATTCTCCCAGAACTCTGCAAACCAGATATTCCTTCTGTTGTTCTCTAGTGTTCGGCTGATGAAGTAGCGATCAAAACCTGAAACAAATAGGACATTTTTACATGCTTCAACATGCTGGCTGTGGGTCAGGTTAAGGTCTCTGTTCATATAAAACCTTATATAAGCAAAATGTAAACTCTTCTTGGGTCTGGTCCTAGTGGTTAACTTTGGTAATGTATCCATAGTGTATATTCTGTTATCTTTAGACAACTCTCACTCTACCAATTTAAAAATCTGTGGCTCTGCATATACAATAATTGCATGAGACGAATATACCCAATTGGTACAATTGTATTGAATTGAATCAAAATGAAAGATAGGTAACAGCAGTGACACAACACTTGATGTCCAATGTGACTGTAAGTGGGAGAAAACAGTAGACAGTAAAACATGTTAATGGCCTTTTGACCGATACCCATTATATATAATTTATGTTGAATGTAGAAGGGAGATATGATTAGTGGAGACAAACACAAGGGGCAGAACTATCAAGATTTTATTTATTTAAAAAAAATAGGAATTGTGTTGTAAATACCTTTGATGGACTGTCGTTTGGGCAGGATGGTGACAGCACCTTCTGCCATTTCTTCCTGGTTCAGTATTGGGGAGATTTTGGAGCCCCAGCTGTCTGAACCTACCCAGATAAAATGGCCTGTTTGATTGGCCTTCTTAGCTGCTTGAAGGAGTCGCCTTGGGGATAGAGAGGGAGAGCAATGTATAATTGTATCATGTAATGTTCTGTTGTTGTGTTGTTTTCATTTATTTTCTGATATATTTCATGCACATATCACCAATGAAAGAAGGTTCCTATTTAAATGCACCCTAAAGACGAAGTAGATGCTATACAGGTAATTCCATGACAAGAATATTCTATTCTGAGTCTGGACAAAGTTGCACTGAGGTACTTTAGTAGAATTGAAAAGCCACTATAGACACACTATCCATTCCCTGTACAGTGTAGTTCTTTTTGGCCCTGGCAGAATGACACCCTTGCCACATTTGTCCAGGCTTGTTGCCAGTGAAAGTAAGTTTGGGGAGTTGTAAAAAACTGCCAGCAAGCTCTGCTGTAGCAGCAGACCTACATCAAGAAAGCTTGAGCACAGCAACATAAAATTTAAACACAGCCACCTGCCATCTGAAGTATTAATGACCTTCATATCGCCCCAAAGATGCTAGAAAAAAATGATATCAAGCATCATACTGTATTGTAGACATAAGGTTTTTTGCTGTCTTAACATCTCGTATAATACTTTGTTTTTGCCTAAAGAAGGACGATATAACCTTGTAAAATAATTACTACAGTTTTTTGTAAAAAATCTGTGTGGAGTGGGTAAGCAGTGAGTCATCCAACTAACGTTTACCTTAGTTTTATGACCCTAAGGATTTATGTAATGATTTTCCTTGAGTCTGGTCTCCAGAAATGCAGTGAAATGAGCATGTCTTAAGATGCAATTATGTACTCTATGTTGGAAAAATGAGAGAAATAGATTTTCTCACCATCAGGAGATTACATAAGGGAGACATGACTAGATAGGCTGTCAAGTCTGATATGAAAATAACACAGTGAGAAGTAAAGGTGTTGTATCTGGGTCGTGGTTAGGCGTGTACATTTCCATTAAACTTTGACAACCAAGGGTCTGTTCCACACTCATATTAAGTTCTTTAAAGTTGTTTTAAATACTGTGAAAAGTTTCAGTTGATAAATAGGTAAGAATGATACATCTAATATCTGTTATTGTAAAATAATCAGGAGGAGGAACTAAATGTTTACATAACTGAATTGCAGAATACAAGATGATTTAATTAAATGTACTTACATTTTTATGTAATTTTTTTTTTTAAGAGTTTGTAAATATGAAACAGTATGCTGTTGTTCCACAGAGCAAACAGTAAATGACAAACCTACCTGCCTGGATAGATTATGAAAAGCTAACTAAACATTATTTCTCTTATTTTGAGGTGAGGCACTATATTTATATAATTGGTCTCACATTATAAGGCTCCATCAAAACAGCTCAAGTCTTTCATACTTTCTGTGTAGACAATTTTGGGTACTTATTAGGCTGCTACCAGCTCACACTTGCTAGGTTCAAGGATAGAGCAGGCATGCAGTGCTGAAATCCCTCTGGCTTTCTGTAATTACTATATATCCTGACTATTACCCGTTATCAGGACCGGATTAAGTCAATGAGCACTGGGACTTCTGCCCTGGTCATCATCAAGAGACGCCCCGAATCACTGCCCACTTCCACCAGGAATACACTGGCCTACTAACTGGTTGCTGGGAAACATTTTCCCTTACAAAGCCACAACAGAGCTGTGTGTGTGTTGATTCAGCCTACAACTAATTAATTCATTCTTAATACAGACTCTCTGTCTTAATAAGGGATAATTAATTTTAATTGATACACTTGTGTCCCCAAATGGAAAGCAGGGACACTGTTAACTGTACTTTCATATGGTTTAGTATGGTCAGAACAGATAGGGACAACAGACTAGATGTCAAATTGGATGACAATTAATTTCCACCACCAGGGAGCAGTTATTTGCAGGGCTGTTGCATTGTGATGCATTAAATCATGCCATTTCTCTGTGTCTTAATGTGTAAAACTGCTTCACTTGCCTGTAATATACCAGACAAGGATTTACAAATGCGAGTAGACTCAAATATAATCATATTTGCCATGTGTGTGTTGTATTTTACAAGGAAAATGCAATTTAATGTATTTATACACACAGAAGACATTTGTGACATTTTAACACCAGCTGTAAGGCCATCCCCAGCTAATGACATTACTAAACAACATTTATCACTTTAGACAGATTTTGAAAAGTCTTATTCATTTAAGGAACTAGCAGGGTACTGTTATAAAGGAAGTATCAGTCAGTGGTTAAAAGCGGTTGAGATAAGGTAAAAGACTCACCTGATATCATCCTCATTGGCAAAGATAATGACTACTCGGGCATTCGGGTTCTCACTCAGCCTGCGAATGATCTTGTCAAACTCTCCAGATCTTGGTTCACGTGGTATTTTCACAGACTGGGAGATGCACAGACCACCTAATTGGAAGATAAAAGAGAAAAGTTTCCCAATTAAACAGGTTTAACTTTTCTTCTGTAAAATTTCTGAATAGAACAGACATTTTACCGTCAAGTGCCATAATTATTGCTGCTGTTTCAGGCGTGTATTTTTCAAACTCTTGGTCACCAGAAACATTTGCTGGAGTGTAGAAATGTTCCTTCTTTCTGTTAACCCACACAAATCTTTTTCAAACCTCTGGACTTTTTTTAATGATGGATGCACTATTAAATGAGTGCAGGTGCAATATTTCACAGCATGAGGGATGCAAGGTTTTAAAAAACATCTTTCCTTGGACCACAAGGGGCAACTTTGAGACATGGAGACCCATCAATTCAGTTTATGGTCCTGCCAGTGAGGCCATGGGACTTGGGTAGCATTTGGAAGTACATAAATTTTGTAATTGAAAACTGGTTCCATTTGTTCAGAGTCATTTGTCTTATTACATTGGTTGTTGTCTTTTTGTTCAACTTATCAACTACTGTTTGCTAAACTTCTTTCTAAATTGAGGTCCTTGCCTGTAGATTGACATCTTTAAAATAGAGACACAACCAGTGAATTACATGCTAATAAACGAAAGTATTGTCTAGTGAAATTGATTACTTTTAGTTTATCGTGTTAGGCACTGGCCAGCACAATACCTACAACCACAGTAATTCCCCAAAGATCAGTTTAAAGAGAGTCTTTAACCACTTAGAAATGCTCTGGTATTGAACACAAGTCTAAAGGCAGCAGGACGTTCCCTGGTTACCAACAAGCCAAGGCTTTTTAATTCCCAATGCAACATTTCAGGATAACTCCTTTGTCGTCCTGCCAAAATGCCACAGAGAGTATGTGCATGCTAATGAATTTCCCTTTCGTGACACAGTACAAAGCTGGCCCAATGAACAATCAATGCAGGAATAATACCCTCTAGTTCAGTTCATGGCAGCCAGACTCACACCATAAAACAAAGCCTGGCCCCAGCTCAGAAACTAATAGGTTTGGAAACTGGAAATATGAGTAAAGAATAGTGGATGCCATTAAATTAACAATGATGTTGGTCTGCTTTGCTCATGGGAACAAAAAGTCACTTCCGGTTAAGTCACAGGGGGGCTTCAGTCAGTGGCCCGCACTATTGTCCTGATTGTACACTGTGGATGAATTTAATGATGTTTCCATTTTCTTGAAACCCAGGGTTTTTCAGAAAGGCTGCGTGTATACTGTAGGTTTCCTGTGGTCATGCATGTCACAGCTAGAACACAACAAATCTGGCTTATACATTCACTTGGTTGGTTAATGGATAAACAGTACCCTTCACTGGAGGAATGGACTCATTCTTTTGTGTGTGCTGGCCCATGTCTGCTGTTGTGGGATTTCTCTTTCTGCACTCAGGCAAGACTCTTTTCTTTTTCTTTTTTTTTTTTTAGCACAGCACCATCAAACCCCTAATTTACTTAGTTTTCCACTTCTAAAAATGAACTTGAAAATCACACTTAACACAGATTTCATCACCCAGAGTCAAGAGCCATCAAGAGTCTTTCAGTGGTTCCAACATAGATATTACTTAATGAACTGGGGCCATATTATAAACAATACATATGAACAGAAATCACTTCACACACACTTCAGACCAGTTGTACATGTATTTTTTTAGCATTACCTGCAGGTGATATGATAAAGTGGAGATGGAAAAGTAAGGTGAAAAGATAATTAAGTATATTACTCTTAAGTTTACAGTATTCTATGAAATGTCAATCAAAGGGGCATTTCTAAACTTTTTTTTAACTCAATTTCATCACTGTTTTGTTTTACACTGTAGACATCATTTTATTTTCCTATGTGCATGAACCTTTCATTTTATAGTTATTGTAAAAGTGTGTCTCTTATGCTTAATGATAATTAAAAAATTAATGTTTAAGGTACCTTTGACATATTAATGACACATGTGTATGTGGTCATGACTAACGGCTGCTGTGTTGTTGTTGGAGCACCGCTAATGCAACACAGTCTCTGAAATTCCACCATCTCTTTGCTTTTCAAGTGCAAAGACTTATGAATTATTGATATCCAAATTATATGTTAAGGGAATGCATATGTCTTTGGGAGAGGAGATGAGGCTCATGCATATACTGCCAGTTCCTCAGTGATTGAGATTTATAAAACATAATGCGTATGCACAGCTTCAAGAATTTGAAAAAAATAATACATGTGTTTTTTCTGTGTTTTTGTTTAGTTTTATAAATCTGGCCACATGTGTTTTATTAAACAAGTCAAACTAAATATATGAAAGTATGCAACAAACCATATGCAAGTGAAGAATTTCACAGTTCACAATATTTGTGTACTTTTCTTTAGTCTACGTGCTCCTGATTGTTGAGGCTTTGATTAAACTGAAGCAAGGGTTTATCTGTCTACCTCACTGTGTCATTACACTTAAACTACCCAGACAGGCACATGGGAAATTTAGCACCAGCATAGCAGCAGCTCTCTGCTCTCAGAGACTCAATCAATCATTAGATTCTATGTCTTCGCCTCACTGGTACTTCAGTCCCCCATTCCCCCAACATCTGCTGTGTAGAAGCAGAGCACTCATCCCTTCCTTTTCTTCTCCTCTCACATCACCAGCAGCAGGACGCAGCATTGCTTAACCTCCAGAGAGAATACCAAGAGGACTAGGGGGATAAGAACCCAGCCTGTGGGAGTTGAGGCACGCTGAACAGGGCCCTCCACGGGGCCAGTTTTGTAACTCTGTTACACAATTTGTTTTATTGCTAACACTATCCATTCATCCATGCATCTGTCCATCGTTTCCTCTACAATACAGGATGTTCAAAGACATGGTCCCTTGACTCAAGGACCAAATTCAAACTCCATGACAGGGAGCAGTTACTGAACAAGGCACTCAATGCTGACCTGCTCCAAGTATGAATTTCTATTTTCTGTTCTGCAGCTAATCCTACACTTTCACACCATTGTTGTCATTACACACAAATGTAATATGTATAACAATATTTTCTTTCTTGTTTGCATGCTGAAATGTCTTTCACATGTTGATTCAGGTATGTAAAGTGGCTCTAAAATGACATTCATACAACCTAAGTGCCTTTTAATTGGTCGCGGTAATTATAGGTCTTGCTCATTACATATTTTATATTAATTTTAGGTAATGAAACAGATCTCTTTAGAGGAATCAGATTTTCAATAAAACACTTTGCTAGATTCCATTTTGCCAAGGACAGGATGTAATTAGGGAGATAAAGTTAAAGACACCCTCTCCTCTTGTCTACACACTGCTTCTCATCAGACTGAACGAGACCACCATCTCCCACCTAATGTTACTTTGTAAACCTAAATACATAGAGAAAGGCAATAAAAAAGTAATTAATTTCAAATGTTTAGCGGAGTCAAGTGTGTAGTACCCTGAAAAACTCTACCATTTCCCTTATTGTTTGAGTCTTCAGAGATAAACAGGGTCATCTGTTGATTAATTGTAGTTATACATCAAAATTACAGGATTAACATTCAGTGGCTTGTGTAAAAAACAACTAGGTTTTTGCTTCTGTCTTGCAAAGTGAAAAAAGAAATAAATCTGAAAATGTTTAATTAAATTTAATTAAAAATGTGTTTTTGTTTAGCTAATTTGGCAATTTGCCTGATGACCTGTTGCAATGTGGTGAAACCCAATTGATTATCTGTACATATAAGTATAAGTGCAAAGTAAAATCGATGAATAAAGTCAAGCGGCCTTTATTCCATAGATTCTGCTGAAAACTTCATGAGCAGTGTATTTCTTTCCCAACACTCATCCTATACCACTCTTAACATCTGAGCCATGTCTGAAAACCACCTCTAAAAATATCCGTTGCTGAGGAGACTGCGAGCCTCCTCTCCCATGTCTTCCATTGTCAGCCCCAGTCTCTGCTCTCCTAATAGCAGAACACTAATATTCCTTCTCATTTGACACCCGTGGGAAGAGACTGTGCTTCCATAAACATTTAATATTCCCTGGTACTGTGGCTGATTTCTGCATCGCTCCTGTGCTTGGTGAGCAGTAGTGCAGAAGCACACAAAATACACCCAGGTGGGCGTTGTGGTGAAGGTGAAGGTATATAAATAGCTTGTTTATTGGGATGCCCTTAGTCGAAATACCAACAAAACAGGCTTAATTTGCAGCTGGAGAACATTTCTAGTAACAAATACAGAGAACTACAACAACTAAACTGGCGGTCAATAAAATTCCATTGTTTTTGGCTTGAAAAATTGTCACTTTAACACTGAATGAAAACACTTTTCTGCTTCTTCTTTCCCCTGGCAGCAAATGATTTATTAGCCAACAGTCATAATGAGTTAATAATTAAAAAGCCTGGTTGAGCTGCACAGAATTATTTTTAATTCCCATCTGCTTTAAATGGCCGTATTGTTCACTCAATCCACTGATGGTGCCATATATACTGTCTGGCTGCCCTAATGCACAGTGGTGTGATCACAGTGGTTCACATTATAGAAATATTCTCAGATGAGACCAGAGTAATGAAAAATGTCAGGAACCACAACAAGGTGATGTGGATAGCCATAAATAGGGAGATAAATAATATTCCCCTCTGAGTTAGTAAACTGTATACCAAATGATTTATGCAAATCAGTTGATCAGAGGACTGTGATAAACTGGCAACACGTCCAATGTTTCTCTTCTTTTCATCCAATGCATGCTGGGACACGCTCAGGCCACTGAAAGGGAGAGAAAATGGATGGGTAGTGGGAATTGATTTTAGGCAGGAAAACAACAGTACAGGTAAAATACTGACCATACCTGGTGGCAAAATGTTACCCTGTAAACTGCAGGAAATGTGCTGTGTTTAAATAATGTTTTTTCTGCTCTTATCAGAAATACAGCTGCAAGTGTGTGGGAGTAAAATACTGGCAGGAGGGAGAGTGGGCTGAAATGATTAGGGAAACTGACCCTGAACAGGAAAGGTCCACGTTCAATCCCCTGTTCCAG